AACTAAGTGAAGCATTTAATTTTCTCTTTGTTGTTGTTTTTTTTTTTTTCCCCCCACAAAAATAGTAGGAGGGAGAGAATGGGGGAAGAGGGAAAGGGCCAGAAGAAACAGAGAAAAAGAGTGGGGACAAGAGACCAGAAATCAAGAAGTCTTAGAAATGTTTCAAATTCTCATTTTTAGCTTTTTTTTCCCCTGGATCATCTTTTAGATTTTTTTTTAAGATCTTTACAGTGGTTTACTGTGCAGTGTACATTGTAGCCCTTAATCAGTGCATCTGTTGCAACATTTGTTATAATTTTCTGAGGGTTTTTTTAATTTGTGGTTTGTGGTGTGTGTTTTTTTTTTTTTTTTTTTTCCCCCCTCTGCATACGAACTGGAATTAGAGTAAAATCTTCCTTTTTTTCATAGGATCCCTCTGTGGCATCAGGCTTGTTAGTTGCCAAAACAGTTTTCCAAAATGACAAACCCTTTTCCTTAATTTTCTTGTATTTATGAATCTTTTCCGTTTGCCTGTGGAAAAGGTAGAAGAGAGAAGGTAGAGTAATATCTTCTCCTCTCTCCTTTATTCTTTGGATAGAGCTTGAGAGACAGGAGTCTCTGGGGAAGTAAAACCTAAGAAGATAAACTATTTCTTCCAAGTTCATTCTTATCTATAGTATTTATTCTTGGGTGGGTTTGATACTGCACGAACAATGGGAATATGGACCAGGATAAATGGGCCCTGACATGATACACTAGACCTCCCAGTAAAGCCCATGTTCTCAGAAACTTTAAAGTGTGAGCAGGGAGTTCAGCTAAGAGGCAGCATATAAATGTTGCTTTGTATGGATCAAGGAAGATGGAATTATTGGTATGGAAGCTCATGCAAAGGCTATTCTGCAGCCTGAGGCAAAATTCTATTTGAAGCTTTCAAGTTGAATGTACTTTGTAAAGTGTGTTTTCCTCTTTAATCTTAATGCAACATGGAAAAAGTACATACTTTTGTTTTTGGAAGAGTCAGTACAATTTTGTGCAGTTTCAAATCTGTCAGCATTCATTTTACAAACTGTTTTTATGATGCTAAAAATTCTACATTCTCTTTACTAATTTATTCATATGTTAAATACAAGCACTGATGTGCAATTATGGTAGCAAATAATAACCAACTTCTTGATTTTGAACAAGGCTTGACATGTATCAGTGATGTGTCTGGTGAGCTATAGTGAGGCAGATGGGGGAAAAAAGACTCTCCTGTGTCTATTATGAATTTTGTGGCTTTGAAGCATTAAGTACACGTTCTAACACACCACGAGTTAGTAGGTTATCTTTATTGTATGTATGGTTGGCTAGAGCAGCACATCACACACCCTGACCTTCAGCGCAAAAGCCTGTCTGTGATCATAAGTTTAATTCTCATTTGGTAGTAATTTTCTTGCTAACTGTCCCAGATAGCAAGAAAATATTTCTTAAACATTATAAAATATACTGCTCTGAAGTTGCAGTATCTGTAAAAACCTTTTACAATTAAAATAGCAGCACCCTCTAGTGTGGATTCAGTTATACTGGTTAAAATCTTTCACATAAGTGTAGGTTTTTGAAGGAACAATAAATCCCTATAGCACAAAGAATTTTATACTAGCGTAAATATGTTGAAAGTAGAGGTTGTACTGTAGAAATGTGGCTCTGCTGAGAGACATGCACAAACACCTGGTGGGTAGTCACATCTCAGATGTATAAAGCTATTTGGAATGTTGGTCCTTGTCTTTGCCCTTCTAGAGATACTAAACTCTAGGTCAGGGAAAAAAAAAAGTGATTGATTTGAGTAATTTTAAAGTTAAGCAATTGCATTAAGACAATGCAAAATGACACCATGACACTATTATGATAGAATTGAAATGCTCTTTACTTTATTTACCGTGATTCTTTCTCATAAAAATGAATTTATTTTCAAAAGGTTAAGGAAGGATGATAAATTGGCTTGCACTTTCCTGTGTCATTAAGCTGCACTTTTAAGCCAAAGAACATATGGACATTTATGAGAACTGATGGAGATCTGAAAGTAGTGCTGACAATTAGTGCTTCAATAAATGTTCATCCAAATGAATCCAGCAGGAAGGCCTATTCATTAAAAAGTATTTTTTGGTATTTAAAGTTTATTGCAAAGCTTTTGAGTAAAAACTTTTATAAATTTTGAATATATTTTTCTCCCACAGTTGTGAAATAATACTCAAAGCCTATCACCTGGTTGAGGAATTGATCCAATTAGTTATGCATATCTTGTGTACCATTGTGTTTATTTCCAACTGCTGTAATCCAACTTTTCATTCTTTCAATACAATAACAAAACTAACAATTATTCTACTTCTGACCTCATCTAAACCTCTTTTTTAGCTTCTCAACCTTGTAAATGATCTCAACCTTGCACTTGCAAGTGATCTGCTTATATTTTTACTTATGAGCTCCTGTGACCTTCACAATCTTTGATTTAAATGCTGTGCTGGTCCCCAAAATGTCCATGATGTTTCTAGGAATAATTATACCTAATTATGATTATTTGAGTCTCCTACTTGCTCCCAATTTAACTTTTTTTTGGTGTGGTTTACATTTTTTGAATTTTAAAAAGTTTGGGTTTTTTTTTTTTGTTGTTTTTTTTTTTTTGTTTTTTTTTTTTTGGTTTTGTTTTGTTTTTTTTTTTTTGTCTTGAGATACAGAACTCAAGATTTGGACATTCAGAGAAAATTTTCTGAATTTTATTTTTTTCCCTTTCAAAAGGTTAACTTATTTCTTTTAACTTCTTTTTTGAAGTTTAATGTTTATGCTTTTTTGATGGAGGTGTTAATTCTGTAATTTTGGTAGGTACTGTTCTACTAGATGTACATATATTAGATGTAGGTATATACTCAGTGAATGTTATAATTTGGAAATATTTTTTTAATATTGTCCTTGAATATTTTGGGGTTAAATTTAAGAGGATCTCTTAAATAACCTTGGAGTTACAGTCTAGGATTATTTGCAGCTAGAACTAGAATCAGCTGTAAAATTAACAATGTACGCATTTATAATCAGTTAACTCAAGCATAAGGATCCCAGTTGGAGATTTCTGACTTGCTTTTCAAACATGTATTTAGAGAAGAGAGAGGGATTTTTAGGTTGGATATTAGAGAGAAAAAACAATACATGAGACAACCACTTTTGACAATAGGGTAAAAGTACTGGTTTGTATTACCTAAAGAAGCTGCAGATCTTCAGACTTTGGTTGGTGCATAGGAAGAGACCTGAAAAGCACCTAATGTGCAGCATAAGGACAAATTTGGAGCCCCCTGATTCTGTTTAAGAATTAGGCTTTGTCTGGAATGATGTTCCATAGTCCTTACAAAACAATTTGCCGAAATTAAGGATATTTTTCTTAAAAGTACTTTGTAGTATTATTGAAGATCTTCTGTTGACTGTCAAGTTCTTTTATGAAATGATAATTTGATGTATGGTGTTAATGATGTTTTTTTCCTCATGACTACTGAGTAATTTTCTCTCTTTGTGAGATGATGTTATAAGAAGATTAGTTGGGAGAAATCAGAAGTAGTTCATTCATTCTCCATGCTGGTGATGCATAATAATGGGTTTTTTGTACAGAGGAGATGATCAAGACAGTGAATATTTGAAACAATTTTCACATGTTCTTTAACAAATCCTTTGCCCATCTTTACAGTTTAATATAAAATTTTCTTTTTTTTGTCTCCAATGTTTAATTTTCTGTAATGTTTGTTAGAATTCCATGTGTTGGAGTCTAGCTTGGGGAAAAGGAGGTTATAACTGAAGTTTCATTCTCATAGAATTTAATTAATGAGTAATGAACTACTAAAAAATTTTTTTAAAAAAATTTATTTTTTCTCTCAAAGGATCTTATTGTATGAAAAAATATTTCAAACAATTGACTGCAGAAACTTCAAATTGCTTCCAATGAAAAGTGCACCATTTTGAAAAGGTGCTTTTGAGCCCTGTTGCAGTCTTTGATTTCTGGCCAAATAGGAGAAAGCAAGCTCAAAGAACATCAGTTATGTAAGAGATGAGGAGAGAATTTTGATTTTTACTGCTTTTTTTCTTTTGCTTTCTCTACTAAAATTTTATCTGCTATATAGAGATTTTGCCAGGAGTTCTGGTGTTAAAAATCTGCAGAACTCCAGAAAGCTCTGGGCCATGTTTCTGCCAAAAACATAATTAGATTCTGGAAAATATATATCTTCAAATTGAAACAGAGTATAAATATAGAAAAGTTGACATTTGGGTGCTAAAATTCAAAATCAGACATTTGGACTTAAATTCAGATTTACAGAAGTTTTCACCTGTAAATCATTGGCTTTCCTTTTGTCTAAATTTGGAAGAGTATTCTGATTAATGTAAAAGAGCGGTCAAGAATTTTGGATCTAAGGGTAAGTAATTTTTTAGTCTCCAGAGATGACACTGACCCTCCTATGAGGTATGTTTCAGTTTGGTTCTTTTTTAGTATGAGGTTTTGGAGTGCCAGCAGTGCTACATTATGTCTTATAAAACATCATACATAAGTGATTCACCTCTGTGTAAATTGCTCTTTGTTAGAAGCAATTTTTTTTATGTGATCCTGTTTAGATGGTGACCTTAGAAAGCAGGTGTCAAGTGTGCATGCTGGCCTACACCAACTGAATGATTAAGATGCTGTAATAATTTATGGGGGTTTTTTGCCGTCAACAGCCAGAATAGGTGTCAGTGTATGAGACCTTGAAGTTGATTTTTGCTATTACAATTTTCATTTTAAAAATTTATGGAAATGTTTTGTTCAGCAAATAAAATAAAAACATTTGAGACTGACATATTTTCTTAATATTTAAAGCTGTAAGAATTTATATTTACCTTTAAGATTTTAAAACGTTTCATTTTGAGTCTTTGGTGTGTGAGGATGGATAGGGACTCCCAGAGTGAAATAAATTGAGCTTAGTTCTACATGCTTGTCTTCTGTAAGTTATATATTTTTTTTCTGTTTTCTCCAGGAAAGAAATTCTCCCTCTAGTGAATCTGGGTCTCTGATTTCAGAGATTTCTCAATTTCTCTCTTGGAATTTTCTTTGATATTTCTTAAATTACAGAGTAAGTAATTTTATAGTCAACATTTCCAATGCCATTTTTAAGCTTTTTTTTTTTTACTTGAAAGTTTACTTTGTTGAAAAGTGCTTTTAAGCTTTTCATTTTTACTAATTCAAAATAAGAGATGTTTTTCTTGACTTATCCTGGTGAGATTTAGAATGCAAGGAGTTGTCTCTTAGTTTTCTGCTGGAAAGTATACAGTTAGTAAGACCACTTCAGCCAATACCTTTCCATTATTAAAAACTATGGAAATATATAATTTTTTTATGAGTTTGTATACCCAGTGCTTTAATTGGAAGATCGTTTCAGCGTATCTTATTGCAAGATGAGGTACTAACATTTTTGCAAGTGTATTGATGATCAGTTGAATATTATACATACATATATAGAGTATGTTTACATTTTAAATTTTATTTGTTCTGCCGTTACTACTGTCTTTCACCTGAAATAGTTCTTCATTCTTTGTATATTCCTTCTTAATATGTTTTAACATGCTGTGAAATCCTTCCGACTCTTCATTTGATGAGAACCAAAAGTTTTACAATTAACATATAAGACTAACAATGTGATGCATTTTTGTACTTTTGTTTTCTTAAATACCATAGAAGTCATAGGACAATGAATGGTTGTTAGCAGTATAGAAGCATCATTCCAGTTTCTAGGGATTAATGCCAATCTCAAATTTGGCTGAAGTCTGTGAAAAAAAAGATGGCTTTATATCCTCACAAAGAAAAAGCTGACTTTGTTTTTGTTCTTTTAAAAAAATTGTGGGGAGAAAATTTATGGTATGGTTCTATATAATAACCAGGAATTTCTGGTTTTTACTTCTTCAAAGGAAATAGTTGCAAGGAAAAACTTTGTTGAAAAGTTATTTTCCACTTCTTTGCTTGAACGCAGTCATACACAGATTTCTGCCTGACAGCTAAATCTGCATTTTGCCAGCTGCTTTGTCACATGAACTGTGGGGTTTTTCATTTACTGGAAACCACAGGAAGGTTCTGTGTTAATCTGGTCCCACTGGATTCAATAACTCGTTAGGCTTTTTCTGCAATATGGTACTTAGTCTACATTTCCACAATAATACTAATAAAAAATTTAGTACCTGTTGCTTACAGCATATTCATAAAAGAATTCAGATCTTGTTGTTGTCAAATATTTCAAAGTACCTTTTATATGCAACATGTGTTTTGCAGAGATACTGAAATACAGAAATGTCTGTGCTAATCACATAGATCTCCAAGTAAGAAATGCCCTTGTAGGAGGGGAAACACCTCTAAGCTGCCTTTGTGGTAGTTTGGATAAGAAGGATAGCGTTTACAGTAACTACTGCCCAAATTCATTGAAGTTGGTAGAAGAAAGCAATGCACTATGAAGATGCCTCCAGGGTCGTAGGCACCTTTTTCCTTTGCTCCTTTTTGCTATCTGAAAAAAATATTTGTCCTTTCAAGAATGATAATGAGCAGGAAAACTGGAATAGCGTCCCTGTATCTGCATCCCTCATCTCCATGTAGGTAGATAAAAAATGACACTTTATCTTGTCAGTTTCGAAATACCAAACTCTCTACATAGATTTAACTTAATGCTTTTCTATTAGGTCAATATTTGAAAACTATTCAAAACCACTAGATGATTTCTTGTTTATTAATTTTATTGATGTTTTTGTAATTAGTATAGTGGTTTTAAATAGGGAAGTATTTTGAAATGGAAAAATAACCTGTACATTATTCAGATATTTCTTTTTAATTTAAAATACAATTCTGTGAAATAGCTGTGATCATTCCTAGTGGATTTCTGTGTTCTATAGCCTAACAAGATAAAGGCTATATTTCTTCTGCAGTTGCTTTTTCTTCATTTGTGTAATGAAGTATTGTCTCTTAAAGTCAGAAGCCAATAGGGAATTTTCTCAGATGACCTGCAGAAGTGACCAGGATCACCTGGTTTTGAAATTGTACGTCTTTTTCTGGGAGAATTAATTGCCATAATGAAATTTTTCTTGAAAGACAATAATTTTGAGCAATTTGTCATAATAAACAATTGCACAGAATATTAGATACACAGTCAAGAACTAAGTTCCTTTACTTGTAATTAAAATAGAAAAGTCCAGTAATTTTCTCCCTGGTGAGTAGAACTCCTTATGCAATAAGTGCTACTTAAGAAATAACTCCTTTTGCTTTTGTAATAATTTTTTTTTTTCCTGCAGAGGATATTTGCTGATATCTACAGCTGATTTAACAGCTGATGTCACCATTTTCTCTCTGCAAAGGTATTTTTTAAAGGTGAAATTAAATAGTGATTTAAAATATTATTAATATAACTACAACAATGGCAATGTACTTCTAAAAGGTAACACTAAATATGTTGTCCTTATCAAATTACTTTCATCAGCTTAGCTTTTCTCATGTACAGTCTGAAGTAAGGTCTATTATCTGAATCAAGAAGATATTTTTAGAAATGCCTGATTATCACACACCCCTCCATTCACTAGTGAATAGATTATGCTTTTGCTTTGTGAGGTGTTTCCACTGCATATTTTCTTGCTATGCATATTTTCAATTTTATTTAAAATGTCACACCATTACATAACAAACATGTTACTTGCTATATGAGTGTTATATTTGCTCTACATTCATAGACAGGGGATGAGAACATTTCCCAGAATTAGGAGAGATTACAGGACAAATTGCCAAAAAGTGTATATCTTAGTTCTTAGGGATTTTCTTTATTTTGGTTCTGATTTGATTTTGATAAAAAACAAACAATAAAACAACAACCAGAACAGAAGTCAAAAAACTGTTACCACTTTGCATCTTTTCCTTTTAGAGCACGTGAATAAAAGTTTAGATTTATTGATTTACTGAAGTCTTAAATGCAACATTGAATATGGTTTACCACTGCAGCATTTAATCATCCATGAAAACAGGAGATGAAACAAAGAAGTTAAAAATCACAGACATAGAACCAAACCAAATGTTTAACTACAAAAAGGAGTTCTATAAAAAAGCCACTTGAGTCAAACACATTATTTTCAAGAATTAGTTTATTTTCAAAATTGTTAAAGTACAGTGATCTAGGATCACTTGTTATTTTAAAACAAGTTACAATAATTTTATGGTTATGAAGAAGAGAATTTTAACTTTTGACAGTAATGGAAAGAAGATGTGTCTGCAATAAGATGAAGGCAGTAGAAAAGTAGAGATAGTTGGCAAGTAGTAGTTATGTTCTTACACTTTTACAACAGAAAACACTGCAGTATCCTGACTTGCTCAGTGTGGGACTAAATTCTCAAAAGTAGGATGCTTGTGGCCATATATGACAGAAGGTCTCAGTTTAAAAAGTGAAATTTTTAAAAAAGTGATTACTTTTTAATCTTACAATTTCGTTCACTCTTATCCATAAACCTAGATCCTGCTATGTGCTTGGCAAGCCTTCTAATTTGTTAATTCAATTATTATACTTCTGCAGTGCTTCTCAGTAGGAAAAGATATGCACATTTTTCACAAGCTACCACAATTCTATTCATCTCAGAGGAGCTATTGTATTGTATAATTAATACTGGCATAATCCAAGTAAGAGTTTCTTTTGTACATCACTAAAGCCCATTTCTATTCTACGTGCTATAAAGGGACATGACTGCTTACAGAAACCAGGTCTGCAAAATAGTTCTGTTAGATTGTACTCATCTATTTGCTTGGTCCTAGAGCCAGGCACCCATCATGTTTTTTATAGTTAAATATACACTTTCTTATAATAAATGAGAAAACCTGCAGGGATTCAAAATACATGAAATTGCAAAATCATTATATCATAAATGATACTTCTGAAACAGTAAATTATACTGAGTGATAAAGTGCCATGAGTATATTGTGTCTGAAAAACATATTGCCTCAGACAAATTTTAACTGATCTTTTTTTTCCTCCTCTGTCTGCAAAATACTTCCTACCAGTTTCTTTATTTCAGTTGCATAGTTTCCATTTTGTTTTGTAACTTTGTTCAGCAAAACCAAGCAGCCCTCAATACTTTCTCTTCTGAATGCCATAATTTTCTAGGCATTCATTCTCAAGGTTAGCATTTATTTATTAGTCCTAATGTTCCATGTCTTACCTCCTACTCAATTGTACATACCTTTCTCAGTCTATCTGCAAAGCATTTTTGTTTTGTACTTTCAAATCCTTTCTGTAAATTTTCTGATGCATATAAATAATTTACTAAATTGTCACATGTGGGTATAAATTTTAGGTCCATTTGTGTGTCTGAATTGACATGCCTTTGTATTCTTTCCTTCATTATGAACACTGTGTGTTATTAGGCTGGCAGGTTTTAGGTGTTTTTCAGCCAGTAAAATAGCAGGTGTACCAATGATATTTAAAGAAATAACTATTTCATAAGTCTTTGTGGTGAAGTGGTGAATGTTTTTCTACGCCCACCATGATTTTTTAAAAAAGCAACAAAGGGACCACTTTTTCTTAATCTTCAGTCTTTGTTTAACAAGTACTTTTCATTCCTTCTAAGCAACAGCCAGGAAGCACATTCAGATATGTGCCACTAGTTTGTTAAAATTTTCAAAACTAAGCTCTTCTTCAGAACTGTGCTCTCTTGTTTTGATCTTTTTTTCATGTCACTAAGGCAAGATTTACAGAGTGTCATAGTGATTTTTATCAGTTCCAAAAAAAAAAAAACCCACTTGTTTTTGGGAACACAGGCCCAATAGAAGATCTTAGCTTCAGGCAGTCCAGCTGTATGACTTAATTAAATAAAAGATACTACTATTTCTTCCAAATCTTGACTTATCTCCTTAAATCCTCAGAGCCATAACAACACTATGGCTTTTGACTCTACTGGCATTTATCTGACCTACAGAGCAACTCCGTATAGGCAGCAGCACATGTGAGGATATTTATCAAATTCTGTTTTCAGCTATGAAAAATGAGGATTCTGCGTGAGAGTGCTAATAAAGAATATTTTAGCATTGAATAATACTGCTTATGTAAACCCATGATGAGAT